AAAAAAAAAAAAAAAAAAAAAAAAAAAAACCCACGTATGGCATCATCTCTCATGCATCAACCACTCGCCATTCGTGACAAACCATGCTCATGCACAGACAGACGAGCAGTAGTAGATTTACCATCAGAGCAACACAAGCAGACAGACGTAGGTCTGTACCATGCACAAGAGACGAGACGAAAAGAGACGAGATAAGACGAATTATCCCCCGAGCGCAATTTGAGCGCAATTAAAGCGGACTCGATGGACAACGATGAACAAGGAAGGAGACCACACACTCCGAATACAACGCACAGAGGTGAAACCCATTCCAATGAAAGGGGTGGGTGAGCGGGATAGGAGAGAAGCAGGGAAAAAGAATCAAAAGATTCAGTTCAGGACAACAATGGTTAAACTACTGCAGCCAAAAAAAAAAAAAAAAAAAAAAGTTATCCCAAGTGGACCACGGATAAACGTTTTTTTTTTTTTTTAATTTTTTTTTTTACATAGTACATACCTTGAGATTTGATTGGAGCACGAGTTGCATTCCAGTAACGCCAAAGTCATTCCTGGACGATAAGAGAGAAAAGCCAACCCAAGAAGAGTGAGGGTATACTCACAGTCGGACTTTTATACTTATTTTAAGTCATCTATGGACGTAATTGCAGTCAGATACATCCAGTTCCGACGGTAAATGCAGTCAGATACATCTAAGGTCGAGATAGTGCGAGTGGGGCCTGAGAAATCAACCATATAAGACCAAACAAATGACAAATTCGTATCTTTGATGCGGTCTTCTTATACACAACCCGCAAAGTATCTGCCAACCGACTTAATTCAATATTGATATAAAAGAAAATGACTATTTGATCATCTGAGTCAGACATCGGAGTCAAATAATCAAATTACTAAATTAGTAAATTAGTGATACAATCTTTTTAAATTAACAATTTCAGAATTTTATTTTTTTTCCCCCCAACGTCTATAGACACTATGGAGCCGTATACCTGCGTAGCATTCTGTTCGCGTTCGGTCTCCAAACACGAACGTTGGGAACCGAACGCGAACGGGTCCCGAAACCCACCAAACGCGAACGTATTTTTTTTTTTTTTTTTTTATATAGGGG